ACATATTTAAAACCGCTTAAGGAATCTCCTACATCCAGAAGAACAGTTTACATAAGAACATTGAGTTACATATTCAGACATGTTTTAGTTAGGGCAATTATTCAATAAATTTGTTCTAATGCAACTTTAAACTTCAAGACAAAACTATAAATGCGTTGGTTTTTATTTCATTATTGCTACAAGCAAATCGTAACAAAGTTTAAAGCGGCAAATCCAGAAGCTTGCATTTCACTTATTTCTTTCCATTTTAAACACTACAGGCATATGTTCTAAATGCGGCATCTTCTAAACAAAATCTAAATCACAGTAAAACACGACATCTCTTGCCTTTGAAATCCTAACCAGTGTGGTGAACATTTCCTCTAATATCCATAATTTTTGCATTTCTACGTGTTTTGCTTTGTACACCTTCAAAGTGCAGGTACGTAATTTTAAAGTCTGTTGAAGGAATTTTATGGGAACCAAGGGCGTATAAACATTATGAAACGCACTGCAGCTGTTTGTTTGAAACCATCCAGTTTTTAATAGCGAACGCCCGCAAGGTTTCGAGTTTTCATTTAAACATAAATAGTTCGCTCATTTTGTACCCCTTTCAGATTTTTTTCTTTGTGATGCCTCAGCTCTTTGTTGCACTTTTTGTTGACAATCAAAGGCTTAATGTATTATTTACAACTCAAACCTGCCACATGCTTCTAATTAACGAATCGTGACTGAAATGAAAAAGTAAATATATGTATCTTTTTATATATGTACTGCTTCAATATAAAAAAAATGGTTATTGTATTTCAGGATTTCTCTCATTATTATCGTAATTGCTGTGTATAGAATTCTATTACATAATTTCCACAGTTTATCATCGCAATAAAATAATAATTAACACCGAGAGGAAACGGTTCTACTAATACCTCAATTTAACAGTTCCCGTTCAGACTTCCTAAATCAGTTTGGTTTCACTTTATTAAATTTGATGATAAATGGAAAATACATACAGGGTGATTGAAAATTGGCGTCATTCCTTTTAAGGGGTGATAGGGGCTCCCTTGGGGAGTACCAGAAAAATATTGAAATTTTTTTTTTCGAAAATTTCTAGAAGATATTAACAGTTGAAGATCGAATTTCAACTTTGTT